AAGGAGCACAATTAATGCCCATCTGAATTCCAATAGTTCGTTGGAGGATAATGAGATTTAACTTTTGTATATTTACAATTTCAAAGATTGTTAGCAATATGCTGTGTAAGCAAACATATAGTCATGTAACTAAAAATGGCTTTTGAAATTTTTCGAAATCTTGAAATACTCGAATTCTGTTCCCAAAATTAATAGTCTTGTATCCCATCATATTTCAAGTTGAAATCTACACTCTGCATTTTTTACAGATACATGTATTCCCAAACTGTTGCTTCCAAACTTTTCAATTATAAACAAATCTTACAGTGCCTAGATATTGAACATCTAAAACAAATTCCCCTAAAGTGTTTTTGCTCTTCTTCTTTCAGCTATAGTCCCGCTTCACACTTCATTACTGGTGATATCAATATAGTTGAAAATGAAGACCTTAAAGCGATCATATTAAAATGTCTTAAATACAGGAAGTCCCGATCTTTTAATTACCGACAGAACTTCATTTCTTTAATAAATTCTGTCAAAGATTATGCCACACGCTGGGCTAAATATGGTCTGAACACTTTTTCAGAATGGATCAAATGTTTAAGAAATATATTAAAGAATCGTACAAGAAATTTAAAAGGCAATATGCAAACCATCTATCCTTCCATTTTCACTAAATCGGTGGTGATCAAAGAGAAAAAAGACTACTACATAAACAATACGTTATCGTTCCAGCTGATAGGGCTTGTAACAATATCGTGTTTGTTTGCAAGGTTCATTATTGTAACAAGGTTTTAGAAGAACATGTTTTTGATTCTACTTTTGGAACTCCAACTTATACTCGCAGTTCACTTTCTAAAGATGAAATTCTTTAAAATCGCATTTTAGTATTTAAAACTTTTTTTAAATTCCAGTCAACCTAGGTGAGTTCGATCTACTCTACGTATGTTGGATTCCAAAACTTCATAAAATTCCTTACAAACAGAGATACATTGCACGGGCAAGCAAATGCTCTACTAAGCCACTATCCTTACTCCTTACAAATATATTAACTCCTGTTAAGGAGAAACTTCAGACGTACTGTACTACAGCATATTCTAGAAATAGTGTAAATCAGATGTGGATTCTAAAAAAAAACTTCAAAAGAACTTTTAGGAAATTTAAAATCGCCAGAATTTTCAAATGTCAGTAACATCAAAACGTACAGCTTTTCTGCACTTTATACGACCATTCCTCACATTAATTCAAAATCAATGCTTTTTGATATCATAAATAACTGCCTTTTTAATAAAAATGGAAGTTGGAAATTTTCCTATCTTGTGATTGGTCATCAAGAACATTAATTTGTTCAAAATTACTCTGATTCTACACACAAGTTCTCTAACGTTGATATACTGAAAGGAAAAAGAAACGCTGGATAACATAATATGCGAAAATTTTTTGACTGTATAACCGAAAATTATGAAAATTGGTAAGAGGGATATCTTGGTTACTGTGCATTAAAATCAGTGTTCAGAACTACTCAACCGTGAAATGTATGACGTCACATAAGGAAAGTGGTAAAATGCCGAAAACACGTGCATATCGATGACGACATGTTTTTCAACACATCTCGTAGTACCATTTGCTGCACCTAAGTTATACGCATCGTTTTTCGATATTTACAGTCGATTTGCATTTCTTGAAATCAAGGTACAGTTGACAAAGTATCATGGGGTCTGGCTATTGTATTGCCTAAGTAAGGACAACGCAGCTATGTTAAGGCTTCCCGAAGCTTTAAAATGCGCTCAAAACATAATATCTCATTGCGAGGTCGGTTTTGGTTTTAATTTATAAGTATTGAACTTTAGTATTTCCAATTTATATATTATATTATATTAACATATTTGTTATGATATCACATGACTTTGCTGATCACGTGACGGTCATTTATAATTTTTTGAAGTGTTTCATATAAATCGCTTCGGCGCAGCTGATTAACACAATAATTATTAACATTTTGTTATATAAATAAACTCATCGTATCCCTGTGTATCCAAATTGTGCTTGGGAAAAGTCACAGTATTACTTGGATACAAAGTATTTCGTGAGAAATTCAACTTACCTACAAATTTGAGGGTATTTTCCACACAATATCGTAATCTGTATTAAAACAAAGCCAACACACATTTTCCCCAAGCAAGATTCAGTTAGAGAAAAACCTCTTCTTACAGATTTCTACAAAAATTCTCAGATTAATCCTCATTAATCACCTGCGCCAGACTCTTTTATACACACATAATAAATTCTACCTCCAACCACGGGTATAAAACAGAGTACATTTCAAAAGTATATTTTTCATAAGCATTTTGAACATGCTAAATTTCAATCAAGGGTAGGTAAGCGGTGTATTTTTAAAATATTCGGACATATAAGACTTAAAAAACCTTTCACGACCCGTGAATTTTGCAATAGCTATCTAGCATTTTTTCATGCAGTTTGAAATAAAGTGTAAAGTTCATGACACTCTCCCCGTCATAACACCTCAAGTTTGCTGTGACTTGACGTCATTTTCCATTATGACGTCATATTTTGGTAGTTCAGAGATGTGAAGGCACAGAGTGCACTGTGATATTCTACGGGAAGCCTTAACCTACCTGCAAAAGGCAACGACAGGTTTCTGTGCAGTTTGTTGTGAATTTTTCCACAATAGAACGTCTTACCCGTCCTCAGAGAGGGCTAGAAAGGTTTCCAACCAACCGTGACGATGACGTTGACGCGTAACAGCGCTACGTCAAGATCGGGCTATTCATCCTGCCACCTGTATAATCACCATCATAATACCCTAAAACTGGTATTAATACAAGCTATCATAATCGTTATATTCACCCCAAAACTGAAGGAAATCGATAGAGTGATTTTGGTTTGTGAGCTGGTCAACTTGTCGTAAGTGTTCCTTTAACTCGCACATGCATGCGTCGTTTGCCTATTTTTTTTTTGGCATGTTACCCCCCCCCCCTCCCAAAGCTTCCAGGGTTTGTTAAGATTTTCTCGCAAACAATCACATTTATCCACTTGACTGGTCTCCGTCAATTTCATCTTTTTTGCACCAACCGTCTGTGGGACTACGTGGACAATAGGGTTTAAAATGTCCAAGCTGGTCTCAATCAACTAAGGCCTGCCTTCTCGGAAGGGTTGAATAATATCCCTATTAGAAGGATAAATACACTGTAGAACTCCATGCATAGGAGAATCAAGGCTGTGACAGATGCGCGAGGGAGACATGTGAGATAATGAGAATTTCATTTTTCACTTTTGGGGGGCACCGTCTTATGAGTTTCAATAACTCATGAATTATTGGGAAAAATCAAAGGAGATTTTGGCTACATTTTTATTAAAGATGATTTTAAATTATAGATAGGATAACTGGAAAATACGTCCGAAATATATAACCTTATTTCACCTAAAAAGTTTACCCTGCTTTTCTTTTTCCTTTCAGTATATTAAAAGGATGTTTGAGTTCCTCATTGACAAAAATTTATGTAATCTTCGGAGAACAGGTTTTCCAACAACCTCCTGGAAATCCGATGGGAACTAACTCCCTTATTAGCCGACCTGTTTTTCTTTATATTCCTTTGAAGCAAAATATATTCGATGTATTTCAGTAAACTTGAACTAAGACACCACAGAGTCTGCCACATCAGTTTCATATATGGATGTTTCACTGAATATATACGATAACGGCCAATTAACAACTAAACTGTATGACAAACGAGAAGACTTCAAATTTTCTATCTCCGACTTTCATTATTTATGTAGTAATATCACGCTCACACCTGCATACGGTGTTTACATCTCCCAACTTATTCGATATTCAAGAGCATGTTCCGAGTAAAGACCAAATTTTAAACCGAGGCAGGCTACTGACAGATAAGTTGATGTTACAGGGATTTCAACAACCTAGTTTAAAGAAACCTTTCAGCAAATTCCGTTGGCGTTATATTGACCTTCTCAGCAAGTATAACCCATCAGTGGGTCGTATTTTGGCTGAAGTATTTCATATCAATTGGTTGGCCTTTTTAATTGTTCTGAATTTGAGTGCGGAATGTTCCGTGTACCATATCATACATAGGCCTCACCATGGGTGTGACCCGACAATATGGGATGCTCACTCCTTCTCGGCACCTGATCCCACCTTTGGAATAACCCTGAGTCCGTGTTATATGCCCATTTCACAGAATTGGTATTGTTTATAGTTTTTTTTAGATCGATCAATATCTTCATTTCTTTCAATATGAATATATTAAGTTTAGTTCAACAAACATTTATTATATATTGCAATTTCGTATACTATTTAAGTAGGGCTCCGCGTAAAAATCATGCAGGTAGCACAGAAAAGGCGCTACATCGATAATCTGCAAATTCATTAAAACTGAGTTTAATATATTCATTTGGGTCTAAAATGAATGATAACGAATGGATTTGTTATAATTCTTCTTTTTTCATATAGCTAGGGATAGGGTACTCCAGGGGTAATTTTGTATGGATAGTGTGTAAATAGTGCATATTTCAGAAAATAATTTCTTCTAAACCCAAGAAGGTGTATAAAATCTAAACACATAATTACAGTGAAAATGGAAAGTGTAAATAAAATTTACTCTAATATTTTTGTGCAAACGAAGGATTGAAAAGATACAGGGTATTAAAAATCTGGAATTTGTGAAGATTCTTCGTATGAGTTATCTCCCTTAGGAAATTTATATAGGTGGCGGTAGTTAAAAAAAAATGGCGGCCTCCATGAAAAGCTGTACTCGGCAAAGTTATTTTGATGCATCATGTGATGTTCATTGCAAATATCCGTGTGAATTGAGTAAAAATGATTGGAAGCAATTTACAAGAACAGATTGGACATAGAGCTCGTGTAAATTAAGAGGAAAAAAAAATCCGTGAAACGAGAAAGTGTAGCTTGGGAATATTACTGTCATCGTGTTGATAAGGGTATCAGCAATTTTTCTTATTACTGACATCAGTATGGTCTATGTCGGAAGTTTAGCTTCTAAGGTAATCCACCAGAATCCAAGAGTAAGCCCTCAGAGAGGAGTTGCAGTCCGATTGTGTCAGCTTACTCAACTTGGAGAGGGAAGATAATGTACCGGCGCCACCGGTACATTTGGACAGCTGTTTGAACAGCTTGATAGGTAGGATTTAATTTAAATTCACTTCTTACATATGGTTATTGATATTTTATACAGTAAAGTATGTACTGGGAAAATTGTTGGGGATGGTCAGTTCCTACATATATCAATACCATGTCCATTTTGAAAAAAATGACATCTTACACAGATATATGTTATAATATATGTTATGAATAATGTTACTGTGTCTTGGGACAGGCCCTGACCACAGTTAGAATGCCTTCGAGAATTCCTGCAATGTAGCAGAAAATGGTGGAAACACTCTGAAATGATTTGGAGAAAATTAATTGCATTGAAAAATAACCAGGGTTTTTTTTAGGTCTTAAAATCAAGGGCCTGGGCCTTTCCATTTGGGAAAAATTAGCAACATTTAGTTAAAATTGGGAAAAATATCATAATTCACATTTTTCTAGAAAAAATTCAAATAAGAGCCATTTCTTTACTTGCAAGGCATTTATTGACTTATTTACATTCAATAAATCTTATTGAAAATCAGTTAACTTGTAATTGCTATTCTTTCTATAATATTTAGAATTATTTGACTTTAATGTCATGCTTCAAATCATCTTTTGGGAATTTTCTTTGATGAAATTGGGAAAAACACACACTTTTTACCATTGGGAATGGGGCCTATTACAGGCCCCCTACGACCCCTAAAAAAACCCCTGATAACCGTCAAGTTAATAATGACAAAGTTAACCTTTTTTTGTCACAGGGATACCTTTCACCCCCAAAAATTAATCCATATAACGTAAGAGTTCAACACTTTTTGTCAACGTTTTTTTTTACACGATTCAAATTTACATGCCATGTCGACAGAAATCTCCGAATTGTTCAGAGTAAATGCATTGACCAGAGTTAGTTATGACACGATAGCTCAGTGTTTTTCTTTGAAGTTTGCCGTTCTGTATTAATTAGCAATACAGAACAGGACCACAGAGGGCAGAGCTGATTTCCATTCTGTATTAACCCTATATACTGTCTTGTATTAGCCAACTATTCTGTATCTAAAATACAGCACAGTCTAAAAATAAATCTGATTCAATTTATCAAAAGCAAGTACAAATAGTAAATGCTGAGTTTTTTCTTACTATAAAATTTGGAGAAATATATCCCTAGCAATGTAAAATGTCAAAATTTCTCAATTTTTAAAAAATTATTCCACACAGAATCTACACGTTATTTCGATCCAAACAAAAAGGAAAATTCGCAGTTATGAAAAGCATCCTATGTTTAATAAATTTCTGAAAACCTGTTTGCTTTCCCTGCTTTTTTTGGGTCCTCTTCAAAATAGTTAAGCCAATGGATTCACGGGTGCAGCATACATTATGTGAACTTCGCACAGTCAGATGATCACAGTTAATGTCGCATTTCAATAAGAAAATAAAAATTCGTGACATCAAAGTTCATTGAAGAACTGTCTGTATCGCCTGCATGTGTATCTAGTTAAACTGAGATTTTAAGACACCTGAAATAAATTAGGATCAGTCTCCATCTACAGCAAGGTTAAATTGTCCACCTTATCAATTAAGACAACGTCTCCCCTGTTGTCAAACTAATCTGACTAAATCTTACGTTGTCCGTGGAAATATATATCTACTGCGGAGGCATACTCCCCATCAAGGCCTCATCTACAGAGAGAACAAACAAACACTGGCAGAAGTTTGAATGCTGCACAGCTATAAAGTGGGCGGTGCTTTTTCTTGATTGATCATGTCACAAATCATTTAGAGAACTCGACAGGTTCTGTATTGTAGATACAAATCTGGGGGCGGAGACTAGTGCTGTGCACTCGTCCACCCCCGTCTCATTCTCTAAATAATACTTATTGCCCGGTTTGTTTTGCTACATAACCTTGCTAATACACATTCTTTCATTAAACCGGGTCTGTAGGAGAATATCATCTTAACAATAAAACGTTTTATCATCATATAAGTATGAAACATTGTCTGTGCTCTCATCATTAATCAATACATGTCCCATACAACAATCATTATTTAACGTGGCCAAATTTAAGGGATTCAGTGGGAAGGCCCGGGCCATTAGCTTAAAAAAATTCTTTCTTTGCAGTTGCCGACCTATAATTTTTAGAGTGGATAGGTAGTTTTTTTTTGTTTTTTTTTGTTTTTTTAAAAATAAGTTATTTTTCAGACTTTTATTAGATAACAATTTATAGAGATATTCATACTTCAAGGCTTACTTAACATAAATAAGCTTCACTTGATGAAAACAAAGATAAAAAATAAAACATTTTCAATATCCTGAAAAACTGAAACTAAAAAAAAAATAATAATACAAAATGGCTGAAAAAAAAGGTTTGGGTCAGGTGCATTTTCAGTGCGTGGGTAGGCAACTGCAAACAAATTAATTTTTATTTTAGGCCCCTGGTTTATGGTAATTCAAATTGAAAATGAACATGTAAATTTTACTAATTAAAAGAAGTAAATGCTTTATGTGATAGGTTTTGATTTTTTAGCTCACCTGAGCCAAAGGCTCCAATAAGCTTTTCTAATCACACTTTGTCAATTGTCTCTTGTTGTTCCAGGTGTCATTGTCATCTTTGTTTAAAACTTTTCACATTTTCATCTTCTTCCAGAACTGCATGGCAAATTTCAACCATATTTGCCACAAAACATCCTTGGATGAAGGAGATTCAATGTTGTTCAAATGAAGAGCCTTGCCCTCTTTCAAGGGGAGATAATTAAAGATTAGTTAAAATTTAATGAATCTTTCAAAAATCTTCCTCTCAAGAACCACTGGAACAGAAAAGATGAAACTTATGTGAAAGCTTTATTACATAATGTAGTGGGAAGTTTGTTCGGATCATGACCCCAAGGGATATGGATTGGCCGCAATAAGCAATCAAAGTTTTACATATAGAAATATATATGTAAAAAACTTTATCAGTCTTTTTCGGTCTTTTTTGGTCAAAATTTTACTTTAGAAAAATGTAGATACTAGGTAACAATCTTTAGAAATCTTCTTCTCAAGAACTAGACATACTGGTAATATAGGGCCATAATGGGGGATCAAAGTTTCACACTAGATAGTGATAATTCTTCTTTTTAAGAACAACAAAGCCATGATTAGTCATACAGATACATGTATGTATTGAAGAATCCTCAAGTAGTGTAGATTCAAATCTGTTGAAATCATGAACCCCTGGGATAGGGTAGGACCACAATGGGGATCAAAGTTGTACATACAAATATATATTAGACTCAGGTGAGCATTGTGGCCAATGGGCCTCTTGTTTGCTCTGCCCATGTCAACATGACACTAGTCAGAAATGATAACTAAATAACAAAATCAAGTATGGACAGAAAAAAAAAATCAACCAAGATATAAAAACCACCAAAAAGCTTTATTTTATAAATATATATAATTTTTCAGACAAGGCTGTTTATGCACATTTTTTAAGATTACTGATGGTATCATTTGTAAGAGATATATCACTGAAAATTCTATTAGTCTTGTCAAGCTATTGCTGACTTACATTTGACTGGCCCAACACACATTTTTAATCAGGCTAGTGTATTTGGAAAACAGTGTACTGTGCTTTGGAATCAACAGGTAAATTTAATTTAGGGTTGTTAAATAGGTATATTTAGTTGTCTTTATACCTACTCTCTCTCTCTCTGTATGTCATATTGCATATAAATCTAGATGAGGCCATCATTAAAAATATCTTTGTTTCCCCTAACCCGACCCTAAAATTTCAAGTTGAGTAGGTAGGTAGGTAAATTATTTTTTTTTCTGACAGCAGTTTTGAAAATACATTCTGAAAATTGAATAATATCTGTATAAATAAGAAAGAACAATTTTTTTAAACCGAATATCATACAAATGAAATTTAACATGTATGGTAAATTGATTCACAAATATTATTCATTTGAACTTAATTTTAAATTTATTGAAATTGAATTTTTACAAAAAGACAAGATTCGCAAATACTCAACCAACGGCCATCCGAGTTTATTTTTTTTAAACCTACTATCATCTTCGAGTGCTTACACAGATAAAATGTCAAGGGCCTCGCGTGGCGCAGTAATTTTAGTGTTTCGTTTTGGAGTCACGACATAATTCAGGAGCTTATTATAAGTCACAGGTCCCGACGTGGGGCGTGGAAACTGGTCAGTCAAATGAGACCGTTAAAACGTAGGGCCATGCAGTGTCACAGTATACATGTAGATGTTGGCATGATAAAGATCCCTTACTGATGCTTTACATGTATGATCAATGGCCATAAGTGCCGAGAAAAAGTTTAAATTAGGAGCCCTCCACCAGGCAGGTGTTCAAATGTTGTCGACCCAGCAATTTTTAAAGGTATTTTAAAGCAAAGAAACAACCTATTTTCAAGGGCCCAACTAAAGGAAAGAGAATTACACTGGACGTCTCAGAAAGCCGTACCATAAGCCAACTTTAAAGATTTCAACACTATTTGAAAAGAGAGTACCCGTATAAACAATATTTAATTCAACCAAACCATATCTAAAATGATTAAAGTTTCATGTATCTAATGTTATAGTCACTAAGTTTACCCCATAAATAAAAGGAATGAAGAAACGACATCCGAATTATATTTATCAAGATGAAATAATTATACAAAGATATATTTACAAATCCTATAGTCCTATATAGTAAAAATAGAATCATACATGAAGTGGGGTTTTTTTAGATCAAAACGAATGAAATGCAGTGAAATTTATTGATATGCATATACACAAAGTGGGCCCCTCATCTGCTCTTGAGGCAGGCTTTGTCATGCTTACTACGTACGTTAATTTTAGAAGACAATTTGTAAACACCATCTTCACACTTCTTAGTCATGGTATATTTAATTCACGAAATGTTTCAAGAGAGTGTAGGATTCTAATAAGTTAAAGATGTATATTAAGATTGATACATCGCTGTTGTTTTATAACACTAAATAACCTTCTGTGGCCACATGTTGTGGGCGCCAAATGTGAGTAAAACAAAAGCTGCCATGCTGATAAGAAACGAATTTTGATGAAATTGCATTTTATGAAGTTGATAAACAATAAAAATAAATATTTGAATAATCCTATTAAAAAAACTTTTCAGTCGGCACGATTTAAGTGGGTCGGTCGCGTTAGGGGAAACAAACCTATTTTTTATTTTGGCCTGAAAAATATTCTTTGTTTTTCAGAATGATCAAGAACTTGTTTGACTGAAGAGATAGAATGAAAAGGGAAGACCCAAAAGTGTTTTATAACAGGTACTGTGAGAGTACCAGGTATTTGATTTTGTAGTTTTAATTTAATCAGTAGCAAGATTACAGAATTCATAACTGGTTACAGTTTAAATTGTAATATGGTTAAAACCTGAGACATAAATGATAGAAAATATGGTAAAGATATTTTACATATTTCATAAGTTAGTAATTTGAATTATATACTTTTAAAATGAAACCCTATATCATTTTCACAGAATGCGCAAGATGGTTTGCATCATGGTTATGAAGGAAAAGCTGACAGTATTTTTGAGACAGCAAGAAAAACATCATTGCACACCACCAACTAATAAGACTCCAAAGGTGGGGGACCAGGTGCCATGCACATGCAACCATTTGAGATTTTACATGAAATTACTGCATTACATACATGTAAACTTGAGATTCCATGTAAAGTAATTTATAAATTTGAAAAAAACCCTTTAATAACTTTAAATCAATGTAGAACAATGAGTTTTAATGTGGTAAATGATAATTATATGTAACTATTATTTTAGGAATAACAAAGATTAGAGTTTAAAGAATGGATTCAATGCTGGTACTTGGATAAAGATAATCAGGCATGGACTCTCATCTCCTATGGATCTTCAGCACCTTTAGGTTACAGTTTTATATTTCACTAGAAGAGACTCATAAATAAACAAAGGACAGTCAGTTACTACAGAAGAGAAGCATCGGAGATTAGCGATATTTTGTTCAGCATTATTGCATCTTACAAAGATGTAAACTATTAAAATTTTGTTTACATCTATCAATTAATGATTTTGATACATGTACCAGTAATTAATAATTTTGATGTGGGGTAAACTGGTAAAATTGAATGGAAAACAAGCAGATGACTTGGTAATGATATGTAAAAAACATCATTCATTTAATTAATACATGCAATTGCATGCAGTTAAAATTCGGTCAAAATTCTTGTGGTGTATATTGAAAGGTGTAACCAAGAGGGAAACATAAAATGATTTTCATATTATCATTAAAATAAAAGTCAAGTTGTATATTATACAGTTATTTCTGTTTTTGAGGTCATTATAATGGTTTGGCTTGCCTAGATGTATGCATTCACCGATCCTAAAGAAGGAAGTAAATATTGTCCCTCGATGGTTGTTGGATCAATATATTAACACACACACACACACACACCCACACACCCCCCAAAATAAATAAATAAATAAATAAATGCAGTTTCAATTTTTGTATAATATGTTTTGTACAAAACAAGCGTGACCTTTTGATTTGGCTGTTGGACTTTAAAAAAAATTTTAGGCTGAAAAAAACCCCTCAAAAATGGGATATGATACTGTTTTTGTAAATATGGATTATCTCCCTTTTCAGCTTAAAATTAGAACATTTTACTGGTCATGAAAATATTTTGATAACTGAAAAGTAAAATTGTGTTGTATTTCAAACTGGAAAATTGAGAAATTTTTTTGAAATGTTAATTTATTCTTACATGCATACCCGGTATATATTCATGATATGTGTATAGGGCATATTTATTGTACTGTGACAAAAAAAGGGAAATTGCCATTTTTTATATGAAAATCATCAATCGTTTTGGGAAAATAATAATCATTTGCACAAAAATGTTTTTTATTATTTTATTTGCTATAGGGTATGGTGTCTATGAAATTAGCATGACCTTTTGGTTTGGCTGTTGGGTTTTTTAATTTTTTGATAGCTGAAAATCCTCAAAAAATTGATATTTTGCTGTTTTTGTCAATATGGATTATCTCCCTTTTCAGCTTAAAATTGGAACATCTTACAGGTCATGAAAATATTTAGATTAATTAAGATAAGTAAATAATTGTGTTGTATTTGAGTTTGGAAATATAAAGAAATTGTGTTGAAATGTCAATTTCCTTTTACATGCATACATATATGGCATATATTGGACTGTGACAAAAAAAGGGAAATTGCCATTTTTTGTATGAAACTCGTCAATCATTTTGGGAAAATAATAATCATTTGCACAAAAATGTTTTAATTATTTTATTTGCTATAGGGTATGGTGTCTATGAAACTAGCATGGCCTTTTGATTTGGCTGTAGGGTTTTTTAATTTTTTGATAGCTGAAAATCCTCAAAAAATTGATATTTTGCTGTTTTTGTCAATATGGATTATCTCCCCTTTTCAGCTTAAAATTAGAACATTTTACTGGACATGGAAATATTTTGATTAATTATGAAAAGTTACTATTTGAGCTGTATTTGAATGAGAAATAAACAAAAATGTGATTTATTGTCTGATTTTCTTTTAATTTCTTATGAAATATTGATATTTTTCCTATTTTTAGAGGAAATTTCAGCCATTTTTTACCGAAAACAGTTTAACTGTTGCCATGGCAACCAGACACAGAATTGATAAAAAATCATTTTATTTTTTGTAGTATCTTAGCATACTCTACCAACATGCAAAGTTTGAAAAAATTCTGAAACCCCCCATGTATCACCCCCTGCATGATTTTTACACGGAGCCATACTTAAATCAAACATTTAATGACAGGTTTGAATTATCATCAAAACTTTTTCAAAACTGATACAAATTTTGAATTTTTACTCTAGTCTGTTCTCGGTTGATGGTATTTTGCAGATCTTTACAGATAAAACAGAAATTCGTCGTTTTTTCCCTAAACCGACATCATGTGGTATAAAAGTTCTTTTCTCTGCCACAGTGGATTTCACTTTTGAGCTCCTATCTCATCTTGAAAAGTCTGTGGAACACATATACTATCTGGTGTTCAACAAGACCACAGTAATAGACATATTGAACTGAATCAAAGTTCACAAAAGCACAAATCATTTCCAATAAATAATAGTTTGATGTCAGATAATAGCTGTATTACTCTCCTTTTTAGCTTGTCCTCTTTGTCCAACAGTATCTCCAGCAATAAACTACACTAGTTTCACAACAGAGGGTTATACTACAGGTAAAGTATTCCCTATTTTTTCCGTAGTGTAACGTTTATATCCTTACTGTACTAAGTGAAAAAAAAGATCCATTAACCGTTTATCAGTAGAGATATTTTAGACAGATATACGGTATCTCCGGAACATGATACAAAAAAATCTATAAAACTTCCTAGTTTTTTTAACCTCTTTCTCATGTAGAATATATGCTAAGAAAACCGTCTGTCAATTTCGATAAAACAACCGGAAAATACAATTGTCAGCTAGGATAACAAAATATAGAGTGTTCCAAGGAAAGCCTGTGTCGCCTGCTGTATATCTTCATTAAAGATATCAATAAATCTACGAGTGACCAACTATTTGTTTGCTTCTAACCGTATAGTTCATGTATTTGCCTGAAATGATTCCCAAACTTTCAAACCTTAATTTATAATGGAATTGAAAAATTAATTTTTTATCATATTATTATTTAAAAGGAAATTCCAGTCTGTCTTTACCGTAATTGTCAGTCAACAACGATCCATTTTGGAATAACGATCCCGATGTATTTTCATAATATATAAATTTCAGTTTGTGTGGTAACTTTCAAAGTACAGTGTTATGAGTTCATACATATGTATAAATACTAATTTTAAAAAACCTTGCCTAATTAGTCCGAACGAATATCTAAGACTAATTTGTCTGAACAAATATATCTTATTCGTCCGAATAAATTTCTAATTCGTCCGAACAAATATCTTACTTGTCAGAATAAATAAATATTTTTATACCCCCAACATCGAAGTCTCGGGGGTATATAGATTTTGCCCTGTCCATCCGTCTGTCTGTTTGTCCGCAAAAACTCTAACATTGCCAATAACATTTGGCTGGTTGGAGCTAAGGCTTTCATATTTCACATGAGTATTTCTTTTGAAAAATCCTTTCTTTGGGTACCATCATATTTGACCTTTTAACCTTGGATTATGACCCAGTTTTGCAAAATTTTACCCACCATTAATCTTTGCCATATCTTCTGAAAAAATGGTGCTAGGACTTTCATACTTCATACGTGTAATTCTTTTGACAAGACCTTCCTTCTGATACCAACATCTTTGACCCTTTGACGTTGACCTTGATGTTTGACCTACTTTTGAAAAGCTTTAACCTTGGCCATAACTTTTGAATGTCTGGTGCTAGGGCTTTCATACTTCACATATATAGTCCTTGTGACAAGACTTACCTTTGGATACCAACATCTTTGACCCTTTGACCTTGAGTTTGGAGTTTGATCTACGTTTGAAAAACTTTAACATTGGTCATAACTATTGAACGGTTGGTGCTAAAGCTTTCATATTTCACATGCGTATTTCTTGTGATAAGGCCTTTCCTTGGGCAACATAAATTTTGTTCATTTGACATTGACCTTGATATTTGACTTACTTTGGAAAATTTAACCTTCTCCTCATCTATTCAATGGTTGCTGCTGGGGCTTTCATATTTCACAGATATATTCCTCAACACAAGACCTTACTGTGGGTACCAACATATTTGATTTGCATTTGACAAAGTTTAACCTTCGCTATAAGTTGCCATACGGGGGCATCAGTGTTTCACAAATACATCTTGTTTTTATCTGGCCCTCAAACAACGCCGTGATTTTCAGTTTTTTGAAATAAAATGAGGAGGACTTTGTTTCCTATTAAAAAAAATGTAAAATGTAAATTAGTCAATGTGAAACATGTACACGAATTACATCAAATCCCATTTATCAAGCAAACTCATTTAAAACGAATTGAAACTTTGATTGGTATTTTTTTTTACGACCAGAAGGTAATAAATTGAAGCAATGATTTTTTTTCTGGGTATGCTATACTAGTGATCATTTAAGGGAGCCGACTGGGGTTTTATTGTGTGAAGACTACAAAGAGAAACTCTTTAATTGCATACCATATGCACCTTACATTGACTTCGATATACATAACAAGTTTAGTGAAAATCTACCGTCTGGTTATTTTTTAGGGACCATCTCAAAATACGGATACATTTACTGTAGAATTATATAGGAAAATACCATTTTTTCGCACTTTGGAGCAAATTATACAAATGCTACTATAGACTTTTGCTCAAATTATATTATTTGATGGGTAATACTATATTGTACATTTTGTGCAAGAAACACAAAAGTCTACCGTCTGGTTTCCAGAGGGAGCATCTCAAAATGTCAAAATTCATGATATTTTCCTGTTTTTATGGAGTACAACAAAACATGACAGATACCACAGATTTATAGAAAAAATAATAAAAATGATTGTTAGGCTCTCAATTTCCTATATTTAAAATTTCAAGAGCATGTATTTTATGCTTTTTATTTTATGGCATAATTAATGACGCCGCTTAAAGAACTTCGGTTCGCCCGCATGGCGCTGTGGTTTGAGCGTCTGCTCTAGAGTCGCGGCGTAAGGAGATGATCCTTACGTCGCGGGTTCGAATCCCACTGTTGGGACGTGGAGACCGGTCCTTCGGATGAGACCGTATAAACCGAGTTCCAGTGTCGATCGCAGTAGGTGCTGGCACGAAAAAGATCCCTCAATGCTCAATGGCCGTAAGTGCTGAGTATCGTACAAAATTTGCAGCTCTCCACCGGCAAGTGGTGGCGTCTCCATATGAGTGAAAAATTCGCGAAAGGGACATTAAACAACATACAAACAAACAAACAAAAATAAAGAACTTCGGTTATTCATAACGTCAAAAACACACTATTAGGACGTCTATCTACCCATCAT